GGGATGGTGGGTTTAGAGTCATCAGGACAGTCTCAGATTGGAAGCTACCAAAAGAGGAGCCCCTCCCTCTGATCTCCCAGGAACATGACCAGAGTGGAGTGAGTGGGGGGCCTGGTGTCCACATGGTCCCAGGATCTGGACTGCAAAACCTGGGGGGCCCCACTGGGCTTGTGTCATGGGTCCCTGGGGGGCTCTGAGTCCGGGAGGACTGTGGCCTCGCAGCCTGGCTGTTGTGTGGGGATAGAGGAAGCAATGGGAGCTTAGAAGAGGCCACCATGGGAATCCAGCAGAGAGGGTGAGGCTCAGACAGCGTGGTGGCAAGGATGCAGGGAGGTGTCTGAAGTGTAAGTGCATTTGGTACTAGAGCTGGCAGGACCCGATGGTGGGCTGGCCAGCCGAGTGGCTCTTTGTGCAAAGAGGCCTTCCCAACTTCCAGCCTGGGATGGCCTCACTCTGCCCCATCACAGATTGTATTTATATGTCTCCTTCTGTGTGTCACTGAAATAGAGACTCGTGAGTCCTGGGAGGCAAGGCAGCTGGTGCTTCTTTCTGTACCCCGAGCCTGGCACTCTGCCTGGCGTGTGGCTCTGAAATAGAGGATAAACTGCTGAGAATTAAGGAGACCTCCAGTGCATGCTGTGGCTCCAGGCTCCACTGCCTGGCTCCTGACTGAGGGGCTCTCGTTCAGACCCCGCACTTTCTGAGGGTGCTCTGTGTCTTGGGGAGCCTCTCCCTCAGGGCACGGGCACAGAGACAAGGAAGAGCAGGGTCATGGGGTCCTGACCATCCCTTCTGGCCCAAGGGTGGGAAAGGGGCGGGAAAGGTGGGAGCTGGAGGAGGAGAGGTGTGTGTGTAGGAAATGGGGACCCTAAGCAGGAGTCTTTGCTTCCAGAAAGAGTTCTGCTTTATATTTCTCTAAGCGCCTGGCCCTGAGCCTGGTTTTGGCAACACTGATGAATCAGGCCCGAGCCTAGACCTCAAGGACCAGGCCCCTCCCTTCCACCCCATGGGAACAGTCACAGATATATCCAGAGATAGTAGCAATGAGGGTGACCTTGGTCATGTGGGGGGCAAATCTGAGGAAGGCCCCTGTACCCAGAAGCCAGGCCATGCCCAGAGATGACTATTCCCTGGTCCCTTCTCCCAGCCTTCTCTTCCAGGGCCCAGAGTCCTGGGGTCTCCCAGGAGGGGCGGGGGCTTTAATTTTGTGGTGAGAAAGCATCAGGCAGGATGAGCAAGACACAATCTGCTGCTGCTTCTTTTTTTAAAGATAAATATATAAGTATAATTTTATCAAAACTGACTCAAGAAGAATTAGAAAACCCAGGTAGTCCTATACGTATCAAACAATTGAGTTAGGAATTAATCAGTCTTCTCTTCTATGCCTCCTCCCTTGTGGTGATTGTTAGTGGCCATGGAGTTGATTCTGACTCACGGCGACCCCATGTGTGCAGAGTAGAACTGTGCTCCTCAGGGCTTTCAAAGCTATGCCCTCTCAGAAACCAGAGTGCCAGGCCTTTCTTCTGAGGGGCCACTGGGTGAGCTCAGACTTTCCAGCTATTTGTTGAGACTGTAACCATCTTTGCTGCTCGGTGGCTCTTCCTTCTCCCTTCTCCCTCTCCAGCATGCACTTTTACAGATGAGTTCCATCAAGTTCAGGACACTAGCTTTGAAGTTAGATGTCAGAGTCTGGATTGAAATCTTAGGTCCCATTAGCTATGTGGCTTTGCACTGGTGACTTGACCATGAGACCTCACTTTCCCATTGTAAAGGAGGGAAGTTATTTCCAGTGTATAGTCAGGTGGTGAAGATTAACTGGATACCGCACATAAAGCAACAAATAGTGTACGCTCATCCAGTAGGTTGCTGGAAACTAGAGATGTTTCTCTCTGAGAGCTAACAGCCTTTTCCTGTTGACTCAGGCTTGGCTGTTGCAGAGGCCACTTCTTTTTCTAAAGGGCCAGAGGATTTCCAGGGAGGAATTCTTGTTTGTGTTGGTGCCACGGCCCTGAGGCTCGTGTCTGTGTTTGCCCCTCCAGGGGACGACCACTTTGGAAGGAAAGTCATCACCTTCAGCTGCTGCCGCCTGCCCCCGTCTCATGAGCTCAACCACAAGCGGCTATTGGAGTAAGTGTCTCACACCTTTCTCTCCGCCATGTTGTCATCTTTCCTTCTCCTTCCCTTCCCCTGAGTCATCTTTGCATGTATCTGGTCCCTCCCCAGTCCTGGGCTTCTTTTGTGAATGTCAAAACCATCCTCTGGAGCCTTTTCACACATGGGGTCAACCAGGAACCCATAAAGATGACAGCCAAGGATACCCAATGGAGTAGTTCCATTCTGTGACATGTGGGCTTACCATGGGTTGGAATCCACTCAATGGCAAGTTGTTTTTGTGTTTGTTTTCTACCCCTCCAAAAATGACTCAGCCCCTGGAAACCACTGGTAAACTTTTGTCTCTGAATTTGCCCCTTCTGTTGTTGTTGTTTGTTGTTGTGTGCCGTCGAGTCGGACCCGACTCATAGCGACCCCTCCTTGGGTTTCCGAGGCAGTATCACTAAGGAAGTAGGATTGCCCAACCTTCCTTCCGAGGAGTGGCTGGTGGGTTTGAACCGCCAGCCTTCTGGTTAGCAGTCAAGTACCTTAGCCACTATGCTACCAGAGCTCCCCTTCTAGAGAGGAAATAAAGGAGCTCTGGTTGTTCAGTGGTTAAGACATTCAGCTGCTAACCCAAAGGTCAGCAGTTTGAGCCTATCAGCTGCTCTGTAGAAGATGAAGCCGTCTGCTTCAGACAGGAAATAAGGAGTTCTGGTGCCATAATGGGTAAGGCATTCGGCTACTAACCAGAAGATTGGTGATTCAAACCCGCCAGCTGCTCTATAGGAGGAAGGTGAAGCAATCTACTTCCATAAAGATTTACAGCCTTGGGAACCCAATGGGGGCTGCTATGAGTCAGAACTGACTTGATGACAGTGGGTTCTTTTTTTTTTTTTTTTGGTTTAGATAGAAATAGGATTATTCTTTTGTTATCAGTCAAGTCCAGTGAGGTCATACTGGAATATGTAAATCCTACTCACCTGTGCTTATAATCCTATTTGGGAACAGGGTTTTCTCTGTTGTATTAATCAGACAGTGTTAGTGTTGGGTGTGTCTTGGGGCAATCTCCTTTGACATATAGAAGGAACAGACTGAGCAAGGGAAAAAGGAAGCAGAGGGAGGAAAGAGTGAAGCCAAACCATATGAAGACCGTCTGGGAGCAGAAGCTCAGAAGAGACAAGGACCTTTCCCCAGAGTCGACAGAGAGGGAGAGCCTTTCCCCTACAAGTTGGTGTCCTGAATTTGGACGTCTAGCCTCCAAAACTGAAGTTGTCAAGGATTTCATTTTACTTGGATACATAGTCAACGCCTGTGGAAGCAACAGTCAAGAAATCAGACATCGTACTGCACTGGGCAATTGTGCTGCAAAAGACCTCTTTAAAGTGTTAAAGAGCAAAAATGTCACTTGGAGGACTATGATGCACCTGACCCAAGCTGTGGTATTTTCAGTCACCTCACATGCATGGGAAAGTTGGACAGTGAATACGGGAGACTGAAGCAGAGTTGATGCCTTTGAATTATGGTGTTGGCAAAGAAGACTGAAAATCCCATGGACTGCTAGAAGAATGAACACATCTGTCCTGGAGGAAGCGCCTCCTGAATGCTTCTTGGAAGCGAGGAAGATGAGACTTCTAACCACGTGAATTACCCTCTAGCCCTGGTCTCTGTGACACCCACCAGATGTGGGTGCAACTATGCAAATGTGAGGCACTTATGGCCCATCAAAGGGAATGGATAGCTTGTTAATAATGTACATGGCACCCTTGTGTGGGTGGGACCATGCAGATAAGGTGTATGGAATGTCTCACTAGGTTTAATTGCGCCATCCCAGAGGTGGAAAGAGGAATCTCACTACCACCAAGAAGAAAGATCCAGGAGTGGAGTGTGTCCTTTGGACCCCAAATCCCTGCACTGAACCTCCTCAATTCAGGAGACAGAGCCGTGACAACATCCTCGATCTAGGAGACAGTGGCGTGACTAACACCTCGATCCAGGAGACAGTGGCGTGACTAACACCTCGATCCAGGAGACAGTGGCGTGACTAACACCTCGATCCAGGAGACAGAGAGCTGTGGCACTGTCCTCGATCCAGGAGACAGAGCCGTGACATTGTCTTCGATCCAGGAGGCAGAGCTGTGACAACCTCCTCGATCCAGGACAGAGAGCTGTGATACCAGAGATGGTGAGAAGCAGTGACAGCAAGATGGTGGCAGCAGAACCAACAGGACTGGGGGCCCAGCATGAGACAGGGAGACAGGCTTCCCAACTCACAGAGCGAGAAAGCTGAGTGCCTTCAGGGAGGAGGCCTGTAGGCAGAGCGAGGTGACTTTCTGGGCACCTACAGGCAGGGCTAAAAGAGCTTTGTAACGTGGGCCCAAGCAGGGCAGAGATGAAAGGGCTGAGAGGCTGAGGGCCAGAGAGAGAGAGACAGGGCTGAGAAGGGGCTGTCATGATGGAAGAACTCTGCCCTGAGCATTCCTGATCCTGAATTGTAACCTGTTGTTGTTATTATTGTTAGGTGACATTGAGTCAGCTCTGACTCACAGCGACCCCATGTACAACAGAACGAAACACTGCCCAGTCCCGTGCCAGCCTCACAATTCTTGCTACACCTGAGCTCATCGTTGCAGCCACTGTGTCAGTCCATCACGTTGAGGGCCTTCCCCTTTTCTGCTGACCCTCCACTTTACCAAGCATGATACCCTCCAGAGAATGATCCCTTGTGACAACGTGACCAAAGTAGGTGAGACAAAGTCTGGCCATTCTCACTCCCTAAGAAACCCCGTAATCATGAGTATTATCTTTGAGTTCTGTGTGGGCCACTGCAATGAATGATCGATCCTAGCAGAGGAGCAGAGAGTGCCATGGGAGGGATGGCTGTTGTCAGAATTGGTAAAAAGGTTGGAAGGCAGTGCCATGTCCATCTGACCTCCTCCTCACAGAAATCAGTCTCGCGCTGTTGGAATGGTGAGTCTCTCTCCCTGTCCTGAAGTTAGAGGACGTCAGACAATGCTCTCCCCAAGCCCTTTTTGCATCATCTCACATACTTTAGACATGTTACCAGGAGGGACCAGTCCTTGGAGAAGGACATCATGCTTGTAAAGTAGAGGGTCAGTGAAAAAGAGGAAGGCCCTCACTGAGATGGACTGACACAGTGGCAGTAGCAGTGGGTTCAACCATAGCATCAACTGTAAGGATGGTGCAGGACCAGGCAGTGTTAATTTCTGTTGTACATAGAGTCACTGTGAGTCAGAACCTACTTGACAACACCCAACCACAACACACTGCAAGAGAACACATTTCTGTTCATTAAAGCTGCCCACTGGGGTTTCTGTTATAGCAGCACGAGGGAACAGATTTCTATCTGTAGATTTAGAATCATTTCCAGCTTTTCATTTATTTTGTTATTTTGTTCCTATATTTTCTTCCAAAATCCCTCCAGGGTTTTTTCTGTGTTTTCTTTGGTCTGTCTCTCAATCTTTTGAAGACACCCAAATATAATTCTTTTGAATTCCTTATCAGAGAGTTCCAATGCTACTTCTTCCTCAGGGATGTGTTCTGGGTCTGTATCCTGCTCCTTGTTTCTACCACTTTATCTTGCTTCTTTGTGTGGACTGTGATGGTCTGTTGTCATGGTGTTATTGTATTTAGATCTCTGTTAACTGTTTGTGAGGAGAAGCCAAGGGTGAATCAGGCTGTTCTTGGTGGTTGTTTATTGTATGTCCATTGGTGGAGAAGGAAGTGGTGGCTCTCAGAAAGTGAAGCTGCAGGAGGTGTGGGTGTAGTTGTGTCATAGGGGAACTGTTGCTGTCTTCCACTCAGTTAGAGAAAAATAACAATTGAATAAGCATCAAAAAAGTAAAAGCAAATAGACAAAAAGTACACCATATAATCACACTAGAACAGTAACTAAAAAAAGAAAAAAGGGAAAAGGAAGAAAAAGAAAAAAAAAAAAAAAAACAAGGATCTGGGGATGGGGCAATAAGAGAAAAAAGGTAGAGAAAGAGACCAATGAAGGAAAAAAATGGGAAAAATGCAAAAAGGAAAACAAGGAACGGGGTTAATTATGAGAAAGAATAAAGAAAAAAAATGCAAACAGGAACAGAGAAAAGAAAAAGAGCTGAAAACTAGAACCTGGGAGGGGAAGAATAAAGAATAATTGTAAAAAGGACAAAAGTAATAATAGTAATAGTTTTAAAACAGACAAAAACAAACAAACTAAAAAAGAAAAAAATATATGGGGGCATGGCGGGGCAGGTCACCCAGGCTCTGTCCAAGCACACAGACTGGGGTGGAGTTCCTACAGGCCCAGAAGGTGGGTGGGAGTGAGGGATGGCTGCACCTCCATTCACCAAGAGAGTGTGGGGTATAAGAGTAACAAGGGGACATTGCACCTTTCCAGTCGTCCGGGTCTGGAATGTCCTTGGGGTTACTGGCCAATAGAGCCTGTTCTTAAGTCCCTGGAATCTGGGAAAATCCTGTCACTTTAAATATCCAAAATGGTCAAGCCGCTTGTAAACATTCGAAATGGCTGCACCCTCCAGACTGACAAAATCCACAGCTCAGCCCACCATCCTCTTTGCTGCTCTCCCTTTTATCCCCCAGCCATCAAAGCAGTCCTCCATGCAGTCCCTGGCTAGCAGGGCTGGTTTTTGGTTTAATTCTTAGGTCTTACTACCACTCGGCAATATCCAAGCTGTCTGTGCCGCCAGGATCGCTGCCAGACCATAGCTCTGTATGTCTCCTTTTTTTGGTGTTTTCATGCAAATTCTTCCGCTAGTTGGAGTTTAGTCCACTTCTATATCCTTCCCTTCAAGGCTCAGGGGTCCAGGATTATCTTCTGTATCTGTGTGAATTGGTTCCCTTTTGTTGAAGAGGGTCTGTGCAGTCTTTCTGCCTATTCCACCATCTTCAGTAAACATCTTTCTGGTATTCTTTGCTTTTAACCAAGATCCATCTGACATGAGCAGTGATATCCTTCATTCCACATCCTCTTCTGAATCCAGCTTGCATTTCTAGAAGTTCTCTGTCAA